GCGACGGGCGATGGTGTCGGCTAATGTCCCTTGCATGCTCGAGCCCCCGGGCCTGAGTCGAATAGACGGTAAAAGGCCGGACGGTTTGACATTGGTTCCTTGGCGGCAAGGTCGTTGTCTTCTGTGGGACGCAACATGCGTAAGTACTTTTGCTGCGTCCACTTAAGACAAACTTCGCAGATGGCGGGTTCCGCGGCGGAAAGTGCCGCGAAACTAAAACACGCGAAATATTCTACCTTGGAGCCTGTGTACGACTTTGTACCGGTCGCGGTCGAGACGGCGGGGCCTTGGGGTTCGGAAGCTCGGGACCTATTTAAAGAGTTGGGTCGCCGACTCAGAGACAGGGGCTGCGATCACCGCTCTGGGTCGTGGTTGGTTCAGCAGGTGTCCATTGCTGTCCAGCGAGGCAACGCTGCCAGTATAATGGGAACTTTTGCCCCGGGCACGATACAGGGCGGGATTTCTTTTTAAATTAAGTATATTTAACGTGAATCTCACTTTTTTTGTATTAGATTACCTATTGACGAAGCCTTGTGCTGATCTTTAGGTTATACATTTTATTATTGTTCATAAATGCATTTTGTAAATTTTGGAATAAATGAATTTGAAATGAATTAATAGCATCAGAATCTGGAGGTCTCATTGATGTTTTTGACAACAACATCTACAGATTTCGTAACAATATTCAGAAACACTTCGCCTCGTCTTCTCATTAGTCATCATTGGTATTTATATTTCCACTAGTTTTTAAGCTTTTATATATTATTCCATTTTATCCATATTCACATATTTAAGAAACTGTTTGCTTACTTAATAATAGTAATGTTTACGAGTTGAATGATCATGCTGTATGTACATATGTTAGGTTTACATCCTAGATTAAAACCATAAATTGTAACATTTATTGGAGTACCATTGAATGTAAACTGTTTTGTGCATCAAATAAATAAATAAATAAATTTCTTCATTATTATGTAAACCGACACTCATTTTTCGAAGCGTAGTATAAAATGACATGTAATTGTATTTGTATGAAATTTGTAATGTTGAGATAAATAAACTAAACGAAACTAAACTATCAAATATGCGGCTGTCAGAGTTTACGGTAGGTTGGACATTCCTTGGTAGAAAACTACTTTGCCGATGCCTAAATTTGGCACTGAGTGTTGTTTTATGATTTTAAAATCATAATAGTTTTGAAGATCCGCGTTCAGCTCCCAAATACAATCATTTGAAATCGTAATGAACGTGTCAATAAAATACTTTCAGTTAATTTTTGTTGTACGTTGTACGTGAGGCGCACTATAAGTTTCCGAATAGAATAAGAAAAAAAATACTATAAATGGACAGAAATGAATTTATTGTTTTGTTGTAACCAATTTTTAAAACACTTATGCTACTCCATCGTGACAATCTCTGAAACATATTTTTCACACTTCGACAGCCTCTTCAGGTGATGAAAATCGTTGACCGCGTAACCGGTTCTTAATTTTTGGAAATAAATAAAAGTCGCAAGGTGTCAGGTCGGGACTGTACGCGGGATGGCTTATAAGGTCAACGTTATTCACCTTCAAAAATTCATTTGTCTGTCTGGCCGTGTGAGAACTGGCATTGTCGTGGTGCAAGATGATACGGCGTTTACGGTTATTTTTACGGAGTTTGTCAATAACTTCCGACAAACAAATGATCGTGTACCAATCACTATTTACGGTACAACGATTCTCCAAAGTAGCCACGTGTCCAGTTTTATTAAAAAAAAAAATCATCCGCTTAGAGGCACTTTGCACGCGCGCCATATTGGTTGGTTTCTGCTCTTCTCGAAAGACCCATACGCTCGATTGCTGCTTTGTTTTGGGATCGTAACTATAAATCCATGTTTCGTACCTGTTACTATGTCCCACACCAAATTTGACGCCCCTTCGTTGAATCTAGTACCTAAGCATGGCATTGCACCAAGTGACGCGATCCGTTTTTTGAACCTCAGTCAAATTGTGTGGAATCCACCGAGAGCACAGCTTTTTCATACCCAAATGTTTGTGTAGTATTGACTGTATTTGACTCATGCCTATACCTAAAGATGCCCAATCTCATGTTATGTCACATGCCTGTCTGTTTTGATTATACGGCGCACAGCATTCACAGCAGCGGACGGGCGACCATCACGAAATTCGTCACTGAGATTCACACGACCGCGTTTGAATTCTGCAAACCAGCTATAAATAGTCGTCTTGCATGGTGCTTCATCGCCAAAAGCAGTTTGAAGCCGAGCGAAGCTCAGCTGAGCTGTTAAATTATACTTAAAGTCGTAGAAAATCATACTATAAAAATTTTCACAAGTTAAATCGTAAAAAGTAAAAACAATTGACAGTGAGTTGAAACAAACTATTCTACAGCCAAGGAGTTCCATTTTCAAATGTTGTAATTACTTTTTAAATATTGTTTATGTAAGTGGCCAGTTTGAGAAATTTATAGTGCGCCCTATGTACTTGAGCCCATAACACTGGTTACGCAGCTTTCTAAAATCTGCTTAGAATGTTTACGTGCTTCATAAAAACCCGTCTAAAGTGTTTATTGTAAAGTAGTCGTTGTGTTATTATGTCTATATTTATTTATTAATACATTGGGAGTAATAAACGATCATATTTATATTTATAGGCATTAATTGGAAGCCATACATCAATCGTTTGATCTAAACGTTTACGGAAAACCTTAGATTCAAATTGAATAGAATACAAATAATATAATATTTTGTCGTGAAACGACCTGTTTCGGATAAAGAACTACGAAATTAAAAAGGAGTAAGGAAATAAGGAGCAAGCATATACATACTATACTATTATATGTAAAAAGATGAGAATGTTGAAGTCTAGTAGAGTAGGATGAGTAGCGTACGCTATAGATGATGGGTGCATCTGCCCTCCTATTGGATCTGACAATTCGATCTGCGCCGCCCCGTAAGTTAAAACACGGTTTTTTGCTTGCCGTAAGGCCTTGGAGGATAAGTGATGAGTGACAGTAGTATTTATACAAAACCAAGTAAAAAAATAATAATTATCTATATTATTATTATTATTGTTTTATGCGTTTTAATATATTTCCCACCGTATGAAGAAAAAAACACAAGGTATGAAATTTACCAATATATCAAATTTTAACTTGGCCTCCACTAATATTTGACTGTCGCCCATATGTTGTCTCCCAAGGCGTTCAACGTGTTAATTAACACACTCTATATTCTTACAAAGTCGTTCGGTCGATAATTGGATGAGACGACTGTCTTTCTTAAGTACAGGCTGTAAATTTGCAAAGTTCATCACCGGACACCGGATTCAACTTGTGTGCACAGCTCCGCAGGACAATCACGCTCTCGCCTCTTTACCCGCGTGAAACATTATTTAATATGGAACAACTAATCTTCGTAATAGGCACAAAAGTCGCCCAAAAACAAAAGTTATGCTTTAAATTAGCTTTATTAGACTATTTCTACTAAGCTGCATAGATAGTTGAGTAACCTAGTCGCCTACGGGTCTCCAGTATGCGACCGGATACATAATTGGCGTAGATAATTTGTTCGCGGAGATGTTTACGCCAAACCTTATCACCTGCGTAAGTATCTGCGATCTACTTAAATATGAGCATATGTGCTAGAATGTAAAAGATCCAAAAGATCCTATATTTTAGGTGGACGTGATAAAGAGCAAAATAATAATGAGTTCGAGAAATAGTTAACACATGCCATAATAAAATGACTTCAACGTTGTTGATATCGATATAATGAAGATATCAATCACGACTTATTAATTTTATGATAACAGTACGGATAAAATTAACGATAAAACTCATTCGTATAATGAAGAAGCTTTATTACTTGTAGCATTACTAACAAAAAAGATACTGTAGGTGTTCAATGTTATTTTTGTAACTGTATATTTTGTAAATTCTATAAAGATGTCAATTCAAATTATTATTGTAATATTAAGCACATTAATGTTAATTAATATAGTAAAAACTGACCAAAATAATAGAGCTATAGATATTGATTGGGGAGCTAAACATCCACCCTTCGATCCAAATATTTATGAGGAAGTTTTAGATGCTGAGCAATGTGCAAAACAAATAAAATATTTGATTTTGAACGATACGCTTTTGCTGATGACATGTAAGTACTGTGATTGATTTTTGTTTATAATTTGTGCACGGCGTGTCTAAAAAAGGATTGTATTGAGAGTTTCAAAACAAAAACATAAAATAATTTTAGCGGTTATTATCATGACTATTAACATTAAATGACTATAGATTTTAGAACACGGTCGTCTAAAGGCAATCTCTAAAGAAAAGTCCGTAGTATCAACAACAGGCACCACGCTCGGCTGACTTCTGCTACACATTCACTAGTACTGAAATACCGGTTCTCCTCAAGCTTATTTGTATCTGACGTATCGACTAAAAAAGGACTGGTGATATAACTGTCGTAGTATGCAACCTTTGAGAATACTAAGGCCCCTGTCAACGTTCTATAAAAACATGGTTGGTGAGGGTTCAGCCGAGAATCTCAAAAGTCTCAAATACGCCAACCTCAACCATTTCTCTAGCGTACCTTGTGTAAAACCCTTTAGTCCTTGATTCCCACTAGAAATTCCTCACTGAAGGATTATAGCTGGCCTCTTCGAAGCCTCAGAATACCAAAAAGTTTGCAATTGTTCCCGCCAAATAATAACTTTAGCTTTCCATTATGTCTCAAATTCTATTACGCACAAAACCACCGAATATACTGTATGACTGTTCCAGCTTTGTATACAAAAATAAAAGTTTATATTACTTACAGTTCTCGAGGCAGGCCCAAGAATACCAAAAGGGATTTTGCAAATCAATCTTCAAGATCTAGGAAATTATCATCAATGCCTTGGTATTAACAAAGAAATCAACGATAATATGGTTATTGATGGGAAGTATTGCCAAATAGGAATTGGATTGTCAGATCTTGTAAACTTTGAATATACGACTGAAATGGAATACGTAAAAAAAGCTGTTAGTACTATAAAGGACGAAATAAATTTATACGAAAAAATACGAAAAAAATTAGAAGTACTGAATGGGGTAGGACATAATGAAATCTTAAGGTAAAATTAAAGCAAATAATGTTTTTTTGGGAAGATTACCTATATATATTAATTGCGTGTAAAATCGTAATACTTTGAATTAAAACTGTAGAGGTAATTAAACAAGGTTCATACTAAGCTATGCTAAGAGAAAATTTTAGTACCTATAATATGATGTTCAATATAAAATCAGCTTAGTGAAAAGCAAAATTCTCTATTAATTGTCCAGTTAGTAGGTACAATAGAGATGAGATATTTCGAAAGTTATTTTCTTTTAACAAAAAAATAATAATATCAAGATTATTATTTTTCAGAACGGATCCAATTTATGCGGACGCTTTACAATTGACAGTAGCTATTTGCATACCTAAGCCCTGCTCAATAAGACAAGCGTTACCAAATGTCTTAGGAACTACGATGATCAATTTTGAGCAACGATTCTGCCGATTCAGAAACGACAAACCTTGGGCACCGGGAGTTTATGTGGCTATGCAAGTTTTTTTTTTCTTTGAACCCTAATTTCGTATATAGTTTCGATATTTTGTAAGAGAAATAAATATTTTTAACAAATTGACAAAATAACTAAAAGCTGTGTTGCTAGTATAATTACATACAGCTACATTATAAGGAAAAAACTGAAAATCAGCAATAATAAGCGATGTGTAGCCAATCACGAATCCATAAATAAAACAGACTCTGTTTTCAGTGTCATCTTTAGTTTGATTGGTTTGCTGGCGGTTCTTAGTACAAGCTACGATATCTGGAATACGTTTATCCGTAAACGAGGTAAGTTCCTATAGTGTAAGTGTGTGACGATGTGACCTCCTTACATCATCATCCCACCTTTTTGTATCACCTCTCTCCACTCGTATCATATCGTTTTTTTTCTTATACTCTTATTTAAATCCAAATTTTGAATTGTTCCATTCTTTTGCCTCACTTTCCGATTTTGTTTCGTTCCATTGTGCTTGACCGCGATAGCGGACAGAACTACTAAATCAAATTGTCTAATTTTTTATTCTTTTTAAGTTTAATGATAACACAATCAATATAAATCATTTATCGACCATAATAAGCGAATAACAGCCTATCCAATATCTGTAATTCAACATATTACAACCCTTTCAGTGTATCAACTAATACATACAGCATGATGTAAAATGTTTTCAAGATTTTCTGAACTTCCAAATGTTCCAAATATCTGAACATTTGACGAAAATCAACCTCATCTCAATGTATGCAAAACTACATTATAATAATAATAATAATAACGCACACACTCAACATAGCCCCGCACTAGGGAAACCCTGTGTTGCCACAAATTACACCCAAACTCACGAGAGGAATAAATGTAGGCCATATAAATATTTCTCCCGGCCCGGGAATCGAACCTGTGACCTCTGCGTGGCAGTCGGCATGGTAACCGTTCGGCCACGGAGGCAGTTAAACTTTATAAAGCCTGTGATGTTTGTTGAGAAAGGATTGATGATAGTTCTGTATTATTTTTGTTGTCATACATTTGCAGTTAATGTATAATGTATAAGCATTTGTACAAATATAGTCTATAATCCTTGCTCTTTATATTCTGGTACTGATATCATTTGAATAGTACATTAAATTGATTATGTACTTCAATCTAGTCGTAAATAACGTATCACACTGATATTAAATTACATCTACAAGAAGTGAAATTTCTAATTTGTCTGAAGTAGTATATTTGGTAATATTATTTTTCTTTATTTCAGACCCCAAATCTCTCAGTGCGATTTGTCAGTCGTTCTCAGTGTACACAAATGCTCGCCGTCTCATCACATATAAACCAGTTCGCGGTGCTTTAGAATGTGTCGACGGTATCAGAGCAATATCTATGGCTTGGATAGTAATCGGGCACACATTTAGTTCTAATTTACCTTTTATAAATAACTTGGACCTTTTCGAGGTACTTTTGATGTTTACTATTATACGCAAAATCCATATCTCTATTCAACCCATAGTCATTGTTAGAAAATTTTTCACTGTCGGTGATCTTGGCAGACTTAGTTTTGTCTGCTATATTTCTATTAAAAATCTATTTACATTAAATACTTAATGCGAAAGTGCATTTACAATAGGACTGGTGGTTCTTTATCTATATAGAACTCACCTGAGCAGAAGCACGGCTTTTCCTATTTCCATCGCAAAACAAGATTTTGCCATGTTTCGTTTTGAAAGACAGGCAGAATAATCACAGGCACAGCAGATCTAGGGCCTGACTTAGGGCCGGTATCAACCGGCGGACGACGGGAAAGAGCATCGAAGAGGATCTTATTGAGAGCTAGAGCGTATTGATGACGAACAGCCCGATATCGTGAGTGTCCGCCAGCGTGCCGCAGCGTCGGCTAGTATGTCGCGGCATCTGGCGACATTCCGCCGGTCGCTTGGTTAGATTCCGTTTCACTAGCGACTACGCAACCGAAAAGTTATTTTTATAGTTGGATATATTGAGGATTTTGTAATGGAATTTGGCGTTGATATCAATTTACAACATATTCAATTATCGGAAGAAAAAGAACATACACGTGCTAATGCGAATATAAGAAGAATTTGGATAGTAGATTTATGCGAATTCGGATGGTATGTCGAAATACACTGCATTTGCATTGTGCATTCCGTCGCATACCGATACCTCTCGCCACGGTATAGTTAGCGTTCTCTGTAATGCCTCATAGAGAATTACGCTGCGATACACTAGACTCAGTATCGGAGCGTTGAAATTTATACCTTATTTCAATTGAAATAGCGTAAAATATACATTGATCAATTTAAAATCCTCTGACACTTTATTATATTTGCGGTATTAAAAATACTCTCTCATGATCGCAGATAGTTATTTTTAACGATAATCATTTGTTTCCCTGTTGAAATAAAAATAAAAGATATTAAATTTACCTTTCATGAGTAAGACTTATAACACAGTACATCATTTGCTATCAAGTAATTTCTATTTTATTGCAGTGGGTTTTGGCATTTCGTTCAATTTGGGTGACAGCAGGCCAAATTGGTGTCGACACTTTCTTCGTACTAAGTGGTTTGCTAATCGTCTACACTACTGTTGGAAAAATCAGCAGTAGTAAGCATTTATTTTACCATCTTGACTCAGATATCAACTGTATCTACGTGACTTAATTTATTTTGGTATTGTCGGGTGTTACTTTAAACTAGATACATCTTCATTTGTGTTTTGGCAATTTAGATTCTTCATGTGTATGTATACTCATCATTCACTCGTAGAAGTGCATTCACAGATTTCGTGACCCCCACAGTAGTACATTTTGTCATAAGGGCGGCGTCCTTCAGTAGGCGATTACCAACTGAAGGACGTTTAAATTTAATGACCCGAATGTTTGTAATTGCTGTTCTGTCTGTGTGGCCTACAATGTGATTCATGACTCTTGCGAGCAAGTTAAAAAAGGAAAAATTAGAATCAAAAACGTTACACGAGTAGTTTTACAGTTATTACATTTACAAAATCATTATCATTTTTATTATTTATTTTGTTTATTTTACAGTGAAATTATTAAAAAACCTACACTTGTTTTACCTCAATCGACTTCTACGAATGTTTCCTCTACTAGCCACGACCATATTGCTGCAAGTCGGTGTACTCCATTATATTCATGACGGTCCAGTGTGGGGTATAGTTGCTGCCATGACTGAAGAATGTAGAATAACTTGGTGGGCAACATTGATATACGTGCAAAATTTTATGCAACCGATGGTAGATATTACCGTTTTCTTTAACTTGTGAATACACTCAGTCATGTCGGATATTGTGAATTGTTCCCTTATTTGTTCTGGCATTTTAAATCTTAAAGTTTTGAAAATATTCTAAGTATTGTGTTCCAGTTTTATCTGTACAGTCACGGCATTCTGCATATTAGTGTTGACCCGCAAATTAACCGTTTCAAGATATTGAGCGTTAAAGATCTTTTGTAATTAAGTATTACGATAGTTTTTTTTGTTACAAAACTTTTTAATTAAATGCAAATAGTTTTTACGAAATTCGATTTATAAACATTAAGGTTGATTAGCATAATATTATCGAGTTTTTAGGTTTTCGCGATTATTATACATATGAAATGAAACTTTTTTTTTTTCAGATTAAAATCGCGTATATTTGTTTTTTCAAACAAATCAACGTTTCCCATGTCAGGTCCCATGGTCACGGTTGACTGTTGTTTGATAAAACAAATATCCGCGATTTAAGTCCGGAAAAATAGTTTCATAACATAATATTTTTAACATTGTGTTATGTAGATAAAAAAATATGAAAAAATCAAGAAAAAGTGATAAAATTGTAATACAAATTCATAATTGAGATTATAATTAAAATATTAATAAATCGGTAGTTAATGGTGATGAGAGTCATCATAAACATAAAAATTACAACTACCTACTCATAAAAGCATACACAGAGCTCCGTTTACCTCGTTTTCGACTATAACTCTCCGTTCAATATTACCACTTACTCACTTACTATCTCTCTTGTCAATAGACTACCCAGTTACATAAAGTCACTCGTTCTACGCTCTTGCTCTCTATGAATCCTTTTTACCCCTTCTCCGCTTTTATCCCTTTTAATCACCATAGCCTTCGACTTGTTCACAGTCACCTTCATTATTTATCTTTCAGGTGAGCATAAACAGATTAAGGTTCAGTCTTGGAGTCAAATAAAATATAATAATAACGATAAAACTACCCCGGAAGGTCCGCGTACAGCCAAATTCTTGTTTCCGCAATAAAGTTCCTATAATCTAATAAATAGTCCTTTTCTCGATTTCAGAATCTATATGACTTTCCGGTCGGTCCACATCATAAATAAAATTTAAAGTAGGTATTAACATTTGTTAGAAAGCTATGATATGCGTTAAAGTAGTATATAATCGTTTTAAACCACATTGAAAATTATGTCTTGTAATTTGCAATAAAAAATTCACGGCATAACCACATAAACACATTTTGAAAATAATTTTTTTGAACAATTATTACGAGATTCTTTATTAACATGTCTCAATGCGTAAAGCTGGCTTCCCACGGCCCGTAGTTTTACGGCCGCGTTGGGTCGGGAAGAGTGCCGCCTATACTGGCGCGGGCTTGTATGTCTGGGCCGTTGGAAGCCGCATTGAGACAGCAAACGACAATCATTCGTAAGTCATTTTACGATTTTCTGTGAGTTAACCACTTATGCAGAACACCGCTCATAAAATATATTAAAAAAATATTTGTCATGCTGTACGCTGCTGCGCGTCATTTCGTGAATATTCAACAATTTTGTGAACGTTCTCTGGGATTGATTAATTTTCCATAATTCACATAATAATCATTTACAGTGTTTAGCCCATTCCTGGTACTTGGCAATCGACATGCAACTACACATTCTGTCTCCACTGATTTTATTCTGGGTTTTGTCAGGCAAAAGGAAAGTTGCTTGGTCGGCTTTGATAGCTGCATTACTAATTTCTATCACTGCGTCGTCAATTTACAACTTCTTGAATAATTTCACTGGGACAACTATACAACCTATGTAAGTATTGTGTCAATACAAATTATTGTTCAATGTTGCTTCCAGGCATCGTATAGAAAACGAGCCCTGTACCCCACCTACGGTGGAGTCGGGCTCGGCTTGCGGCGCGTGGTCGGGTTCGGATTACGGGGTGTATTTATGCTCTTCGGTGGCACAAGCGGTTACTACTATGGTGCTTGATGAGGAGGTTCAAGATTCGATCCCTGATTAGAGTCAATTTATGAAAAAAAAAAACTTTTAATTGGTTCTGGTCAGGGTATTCTGGGTATTGCCCTCAGAATTATCGTTACTCTGGTACTCCTTGTACAGGAAATTCCCTAGTTTGAGACCAGAAATTTGGAGTTATTGTCTGGCATTTTTGCCCTAAATACTTCTCGTTTTAGCATAGCTTCCAAGAACAAAGAATCTAAGAGATAGATGATCGAGATACAATAACGCTATAAGTATCTTATTTGTACTACATCGGGAAGTATGCCTTACATTTTGAACAATTGTGAAGTCTTGTACTCGTAATAGAGTCTCCGTATACTACCTACGTAAGGTGGCGTGCGCACGCTTCGGGCTAGTACGGCCTCGGCATTTATGGCTTTAAAAAAATGAACTGGCGGCCATATTGATAAGTTACGGTCATAAACGGCCATATTGTTTTAATTAGGTAAACTATTGGTATAAGCTTTTTTGATGGGTTTGTTCAGGATTTGAAAAGAACCAGCCCGCTCCACATTCTTGCCAAAACTTCACGAGAACAGCCAAATTCGAGAGTGTAGTGACCGTATTCGTTAAGTCTCGCCTATGTTCGTGTGGTCTCCACTTCGTGTCGGTATTTCGGACCCGAATCAAAGGGCTCTCGTGTAGTTTTGTGTTTGCGCGAGACCCGTTCCTCCACATTCCCGTCACGACAGTCCGCCGGCAGTAAACGCAGTGTTCTGTTGCGATGTATTGATGTCATCCACCATCTGCGTCTATTCCAACGTCTCTTAATAAGTTTTTTTTTCGAATTAACAAAATATTGCAATATGCTATAGCACATAATGCTGCAGCAACAGACGTATCTAACACGTCCATCTCGTATGACTACCGAACGGACAACTGTGCGGGCGAGAATGTGGAGCGCCACTCTCGGTCTCGTCCTGTCTCGGCGAGACCCAGACCGGGATGTCTCGACGAGAATGTAGAGTGCACTTTAGATGACCATATTTTGTACTACGCTTGTTACTTGCTATTACTTATTAAGCTTGTAAATTTTTTGACTTCAGATTGAGCTTAGAAGAAAATATAAGGTACATGAGATACTATTACCTAAATACATTGACAAGATGTTCACCTTTCTTTATTGGTATGTGCTTCGGATATTTGATCCATTTTTGGCGAGAAAAGAATATTCAATTGTCAAGGGTAAGTTTTAAAGATATTATTTCAGAGAAATAAAACTATTTCTCTGCAATAATATACAAAATAACTATACACGCTATTCTCAAGACTACAAATAGACAAAAATGGAAAAACTACTTATTCATTTATACAGGTACACACATAACAGAATGAGACTCATGCAAAATACAATACTGCTTGACATATATAACATTTAGAAGTAAATAACAGTTCAAAGAGATGTGCATTGTTTCACAGACTCGGTACAGTCAATTATATTTTGTCTATATTCAATGAACAATAAATAGTTTTAGCAGTAGTAAAAAGTTCTCCTTGTTAAAGAATTCGTCCAGAGAAGTACTGCCATCTTACCTATTTCTGCCGCCAGGTAGTAATGAGAGCAAAGTTGAGAAGGTTTCTAAAATGTCTCACTAGAACACTTAAGGCGCAGAAAACCAAAAAAACCTGTACGAAGATGTATAACAAAAACACATAGGAGAGTTTCGTCAACTCGATAACTTGACCTGTAGCTCAGTTGGCATAGAGCAGCGTTACGGTACAGCGTGGTCATGGGTTCAAGTCCCATCTGGTCGACGATATTTTTCTTCGTGTTCGATCTTTGTATCACAGCAATTTATAAAAATTAATTTCCCAAATTAGTCATACCGGAAATCGAACCAGGGACCTCCACATCCAACGCCCACAGCGCAAACATTTGGGTCACGGTGGTCGTCAAAAATATATATAGCTGGCCGGTTGTTTTACAGATCATGAATTACGTATTATGGATTGTTAACTTGGGAGTGCTATGGTTGGCATTGTACGCGATTACGCCGATGAAGAATGCTGACTTTCATAATCAAACTTATGACAACTTTGTAAACTCCTTCATGCGACCAGCGTGGGCCCTTGGAATTGGCTGGCTTATTCTTGCTTGTGCAGAGGGTTATGGAGGTGAGATAAATCTGACACAAATTTAAAAAAATGTATTATAGAAATAGATCTGGAATTTAGATAAGAAATACCATTTATATTTTTCACCCAATAATTTAAAAATATTTTGATTCGCTGATTGAACTGTTGTAAAATACACATCGAGTATATAACCAGAAATAGAGACTAAATGTCATTTCATTTACGATTCTGCCAAATCGTTACGGTGACAACTGCGCACCGATTGGCCAGCCCGAATTCGAAACAATTGACGGGTTTTCGTCACTTGTTTCACTTCAAATCGACCAGTTTAACTTGAGCTTTGCTATAATGGACGTAAATTGAAAAAATTACATATTAATATTTAATTACCTATGAAATGTGATTTCCGTTTGTTTTATAATTAGATGTTTTGCTGTTTTCCCATACTACCGACTAGAACAGCACCGCATTGTTATAGATAATATATTATATTTATTGCAATAAATACAGAAAATTTTTAGAATACGCGTATATTCTAAAAATATTCTGTATTTATTGCGTTACGTACACACGGGCCAGTTGTTGGCGTTGTATTATTTCAGCTTTCTAAATTTTGTGATTTCAGAGCAAACGAGAGTTGATATTTAAGTGATGATGAGTTACCAGGGATAGACGGCCCTTATTTCGTCTCTATTTCTGGTTATATACATATATAATCCTAACAGCAAAGCTGTCATGTCAAAAAAATTTACAGATTATTTTCAAAAGTTTGACATGAGGTAATGGGTTCATATTAATAGAGAAGTGTTTGAGTTTTTGTGTTTAAGTTATATAACTCCTTTTTTGTATTATTTAGTAAGGTGTGTCTATGGTCACGTGCAGAGTAGTTAAATATTTAGGGCATTAACTACCATTCTTCTTCTTCTTATTCTATCGATGACATTTATTTATTTATTTATTTATTTTTCAGGGTTAACAAACAATTGTACATGAAATGTTTACAATCAGAGTTAAATATTTCTAACATAGGTACACGTACAATCAACAGCATTATCCACAAGTTACTATTAGAATTAAAATTAAAATTGTCGTGTGTGATGGGTAGTGCCAAATAAACTAAAATATGTAAATAAAAGGTAAATAAGAAATTAGCTCAGGGCATCAATAATAGCTTTTTTAAATTTAGAAGCAGGCAAATGGAATATGTCAATATTGCTAAACAAATCATTGTAATGAGAAAGAATACGACGTAGAGGAACTCGCTTGCCAGCATTTGTTTTGCAGGTCACCGTTTTAAACAACGAGTAGGAGCGCACTCGCCGTCGATAAACTCTCATTGGTACATTATATCTAATATGTTGCACAAGATCCGGGCAATCAATTAAATTGTGACAAAGTCTATGGAGTGTTACAGATTGAAGAAGCATTCGTCTATTGTGAAGTGTTAGCATTCCAAACTTAGATAGTAAACCCTCGTATGACGTAATTTTTCTAAATATTTTATAATTTATCGACTTAAGGAATTTAGCTTGAATTTTCTATAGTACACTATAATGCATGCCGTCGTAGTGAAAGGACTTGCCAATTGGCGTAAAGTACTCTCCAATAGTTACCCAGGATGAACCAGACGTACAGGAAAGGAATGGTATGTCGTGCGGGGAGTGTTCTTTTTCATGCACCCCACTAATTTCGTATACCACATTAGATTTGGAAGCATGAACCATTGCCAACAAAATTTGTTTTTGTGTAAAATCTTTCATGGTTTTTTTAGTAGAAAGTACAAAAAAAACGACAGTAAAAGTTCGTGGAATTACATCTATTTGCAAAGTTTTATTGAAATCGGCGCGTGAAACCGGATTTATCCCCTAGTTTGCCATGTTGGAGGTGGAATATTTTCTTTAAATTTAAATGAGACCAGTACTGAGGTACCCTCTTTCCAACAAAAAAAAGAAGCACCAAAATCGGTTCACAAATAGTTATCGCGTAATATATATACAAAAAACAAAAATGCAGTTGAACTGAGACTCTCCCCTTTTTTGGAAGTCAGTTAAAAATCAAATTTTGATTTCGTGTGCATAGTGAGGGTTTATTAAAATCTACCAAATAATTCAGGAGATTGGTATGTAGGTACGGACTCAAGTGTATAATACTGTTAAACACTTTCAGGCCCGATCAACTGGCTCCTGTCATTGCGAATGTGGAAATTGCCCTCACGGCTTTCGTACGCGATATATTTATTCCATTTTCCCATACAATACGTCATAAGCGGAGCAATTTCGCAACACCTTTACTTTTCTGTGTTGAATGTAGTAAGTATTTTTGTTTACCACAAATGATACCACTAAAGAGAAAAAAAAAAACGAAACGAAACAGAAGAAAAACGTTCAGACGTGAAACAAAAATAAATTTAAAAATTAAAAAAAAAATTAAATATAATATATTAGTGTGGACATCTTGCAAAAATTGTAATTCTTAATTTTTTTTTTAGGTGTACATGTTTTGCGGCCGCTTTGTAATATATTTCATAGTCAGCTTTGTTTTTACAATTCTGGTGGATTCGCCATGTGCCAATATTGTCAAGATTGTCTTAGGAAGCGGTAAGTTTGAAAATTTATGACGTAGTAGGGTATTTATAGAGTATAATCCTAATACGCACTTTGAAAATTATTTGTTATTCTATGAAAGTTTTCTTATTTATAACTGCCTAAATTCGCTGATTAAATTAGTCTTCAAATAAAAAAAAATCTTTGACATCAATCTACCCGTTTAGGAGCTACGATACCCTTCGATCTAATATATTGGTAGGTGCATGATTTCATGAAAAATCAAATCGAAATATTGTCTTCGCATCATGTTTACTTGTATAAGTGTATACATACTTCTTTAGTTATTTCGCAAATAGCCCTAAAGTGTGATATAATTCATTCTGATTATAAATCTTAAAATATTAGTAGCAGTCGTAATACATCTATGCAAATTTCTACATAATATTACCTTATGTATTGAATAATGGAAAGGGTAATTAAATTAAATGACGCCCAGAAATGTAACAAGATATCTAAAAAACTTATTAGGTATTGTGAAACAAAAGCTGTGAAAATAAAATACAAACTAACCAGAGGATAACGTGAGTTACATAATTTTGAAAGTAAAAGAGATAGATGCGTAGGTATATGGATCACGGTGACAATAGACAAAATATATTACAAAATACGATTACAATGCCATAAATTAAAAAGAAGTTTATGAAATAATTTAAGATGGTATAATTACTGCAAGTACGATTTTACGTCTTTTTTCTACTTCTAGTGCAGTTTTTGCAATTTTTAACTGAGCACTTCGACATCGTGATTTGCGTGTGGTCACCAAGTGAATGAGAGCGAAAGATATATTGGCGATTTTTACCTTCTTACCACGATGTCACTTTTTGAGCAACTACCGTATATCTACCTATTTGATCGAAGACGATACGTAACGTTACGTAAAATAAGTGAAGTATGGGAAATTCGTATAAAGTCACAGCGCGGCTTCAATGTGACGCACACATTCGCATAATAATGAAAGGCGCGTTGGGAACGACCAGTGTAATGCAACGCAAGTGCATTGCGAGATTATGCGAACGTGTGCGTCCCTATCGCGCACGGCGTCACGGCACGACGCGGGCGCACAGATACACAAGAGCCACTGCTAAGTTTGTATGGAGTTACCTCACTTGTCTATGATACCGCGGACATACATAAAGGCTTACTTAACTTATAGCTCCCCTCGTTTTGCGTTGGGGTTAAAAATTATTTTTTATACGACTTAAGTTTAAAAGACGTTCCACTTTCAAATTTTATTTTAAAATATTTTTGTAAGTTTTTTGACTTGTAAATTTTATTGCGTTGGCAGTATTTGAATTTTAATATGACAAAAAAATTCCAGGGATCAAAAAATCTGATAAAGAGCAGTGAAGAAACGAAAGAAACCTCTGAAAATCAACTAATGACTAAGCAGCAAAAGTAACAACCAATGAATGACACATATATAACACAATAACAATAAGGCACAACTTGAAATTCTTTGAATATTAAATTTTATTTCAAAGGGGTGGACGGCGGCGTTTTTCATCCGAGTAATTCATAACACAGTGTGTCAAAACTGACGTTTCTGCTATATTGTTACATTTTTTAAATTACATGCCTTTTTAGACAGAGACAGTGCTATATTATTTGTATAAAGCTTATTTCCATCGTTTTTGTTTGCATAAATTAAAAAGTTATAATAATTGAGTATGTGACTGTCACAATTTGCAATTGGTTATTCGTTCCTAAGTATGACGACAAGGACCACTTTGTCGATGCATAAATTTGACATTGAGATTATGTCTATGACTTTGGAATTCATAATAACTGCCTCCGTGGCCGAACGGTTGCCATGCCGGACTGCCACGCAGAGGTCCCAGGTTCGATTCTCGGGCCGGGAGAAATATATGTATGGCCTACAATTATTTCTCTCGTGAGTTTGGGTGTAATTTGTGGTTGTCTATGTGTGTGTACATGGCACCCGCGACACAGGGTTTCCCTAGTGCGGGGCTATGTTGAGTGTGTGCGTTATTTATTTATTATTTATAATAGTTGGATGTGCTTATTTATTTGTTTTTGTTTGTTTGAATGCAAATTTGTCTTTAGTGAGCATTTGTAGTGCTCTGAATTAATTTTATTATCTTTAAGTTTATCCTGTAACGGCGGTGGTTGCCTGGAAGAGATTGCTATCTAAGAATAATCTCGCTTGTTGTTAGAATAATCATTGAACATCACTATGAACCTGTCATTAATAAAAGTTTCAGTTAATTTGCTGGGCGTTATGTACACAGGTTATTTTTAAAATTAACTATTATAAATTGCCATTTAAACATTAATGTCGTAAGGTTAGTTATGCAGCAGTCCAAAATCTTTACCATTTTTTTCGGTGCTCCACAACAATTCGCCTAAACTATTGTACGGATTTCTGCTGTAAAACTTTAATAATCGATGTATAATTTAGTTATATTTATTTATCAATATGTTCGGATAAATAAACCGTTATATTTATTATTAATAATATTGTAAAGAATTATATCTATCCTTTAATCCAAATGTGAATATGCGGAAAATTTTAGTAGCTAACCTACGTACAAAGTAAATGACTTTGAACGGTAACTTTTGATGATGGCATATAAATGCTCGGCAATAATGTTACTTACATTGCAATTGTCTACCAATCTGTAGACAAATAATATGCAGAGAGTTTAATTTTACGATATTTTTAACTAATATAAGGTAATACAGATGTTGTGTTTTCACGATTGTTCCACATAGGAAATTAAACTGTTTTTCGGATGTACTAAATCCTGCAATCTGAGGGTTAACTGCGCTGTTGATGCCCCTCGGGTGCAATATAATAATGCCTTATAGATGCTGATGGGGCTCCTCGATTCTGCAGCGCATCAGAAATGATCGCGGAAGCGCATTGTAATGATTATTATGGCATCATCAGAAAACGAACAACTTCCGTACTTCGAAGAATTCGGAACAGCACCAATGGCATCCTGAAGGTTGTTAAGGATAAGTCGATTGTCCTTTTTATAGGCATTAGAAAGGGAAACATACAAAATGGCTCCCGAAAATATTTGAATTAGGTGAAGATATTAGGATAATTTAAAGTTACTAACGTAATTTTGAGATTTTACTAACGACCTGTACGGATAATAAGTCCAAAATAAAATGTTTATTGATATTGTTGTTATTAAATAACGTACATTTTTTTTATTCAAATCACTGACTGATTTTCTTGAAAAAAACAAAGAATTAGATCCAAAAATATTGTTTTATTTTAAATTATACACAAATCTTTATTATTATGAATAACTGTAGAATCTATGACAGATAACTATTCATTAATATTGAGTTGTGTTTCTGTGTACTTTTTTTCTGTTGTCGTAAGTTTTTCTGAAGTCTCATTTTAAGCAGGAAGTTAAGCGCTTTTCAACGTAATTATTCCTTATTCAAATGTTGTGCATGGCTGTAAAAGGAATAAAAATTGACTTACTTTTTTTATGCATCTACATGTTATAGTAAAATTTTTAGTTTGTGTTTCTTCTCTTGTTTCTGTAGCTTTGCCAAATAAAATAAAATAAAAATTGTATTACATTACTACACGCAAAATAAAGGCCTTGACGTCGAGTTGCGGACACCAGCCCATTACATCAAGTACCAAGTTCATTATATTATTTGATAAACGCGCCAAATTTGTCGAAACATACAATATATAGTATAGTCCACACTTCGAAACAAAAACAAACAAAACTACAAAGGACAAAGCAATATCTTTGGAGCCGTACCGTAGCAGATCTCGTTTGTGGTTCGCTGTCGTCGTAACATTGCCGGTTTCCTGTTCTCTTTGAAAATATAATTCATTTTTTTATCTCACAGATAAATTAGTAACCCGTTTATGGACAACTATGACGTATAGCGTAAAATTAAATATCACAATATAATACTACGGGGTTCCCCATTTAGCTATACTCGCATGGATCTCATTAGAACCAACTATTGGCTTTACTGTACGATTTCCAAGTTCTTTTTGTGTAGTTGCCGCCTACTGCTTCTGCATAGAGACGTATAAACAACGTACTAATAAAATTCAAATGCGCACACATTTATGTATAGTAACACCGGACATCGACATGTTGGTATGAGGTGATACAAGTACATGTCAGTGTCATTGAACTTTCTGACAGCAAAAGTAAGTTTGAACCCAATTTTTATCTCTAATACGTTCATATTTTTAGTACTAATTCAATATAAGGGCAATTATCCTACTACTGTCATTGCCGTACTTTCTGTTATATAAGTATGTGCAGTAGAGTTCCTCGTGAAAGAGTTCGTCCAGGGAAGTACTGCCAGTATACCCATTACTGCGTTTCGGTTTCGCAGTGTAAGGGTGCTAGTAAAATTACTGGCACATGGGACTTGTCAACTTATGTCGCGGGATATTCGGCGCAGTGGCAGCGCCCCTCAGATTGTAGTGATTTAAAGCTCTGAGTGGTATTGCAACTGTTATGGACAGGCGTGTCGCTTACTACCAGTCGCTCAATTTGCTCGTCCCGTCACTTAGTATTATATATTAAAAAAAGTATGTTGACGGGATCAGCTGTCAGTAATGAACTGAATCAATATTAAGCATGGCGCAAAGACAATATAGTAACATTTTTGTATGCGGTATTATTTAAGTAATGTCCATGAATGAGTCAAAGAACGTCCATCTATTTTCCATCAGTAGACTTGTACGAATGTTTTCTCATCATTCTATTTAAAAGCCAGGCTCTTGTTGGTGTAGCCTCCTCCAATCCTCGTGGTTCATAGCCAGTTCCGTGACCTCTTTATAACTGCTCACTTTGATCTTCTACTTTATTTGTTCACTATACGTCATTCTTACTCCCCTCTCTTTTTTTTCCCTTCCATCCTCCCGTCAATTATCACTCTCACAAATTTGTCATTACGTAACAAATATCCAAACATTTTCCTCCTTCTGTTCTATATTGTGCCAAAAAATGTATCTACTAGACCACAGTATTACAATAAAACTGTGACTAGATACCAAGTTAAATTTTATTAAATGTTTTTCATACAATGAATAAAATTAACTATTTTTTTTATTGCTTATTATGGACAACTCACCCTTGACCAAAAAATTGACTAAGCCAAAATTCTTTTCACAAAAACAGACTTAATGGTTCCCAAGACAGTTTCGTTGTATCTTCTATGATTTCAGATTTCCCCATACTGTCCCATTTAAAAAAACCCGTATAGCCGTCAGAAAAACTTAATGTATAATATACACTCAATGATAACCTCGATATGACTTTAGAATAACAAGTCATCGTTGTAATAAATTTATGACAAAAGACAATCGCTTAACAGAAAACTCCATAGGCCAATTTGATTACAAATAAATTTGACCGATCATTATTCAGTTTTCATCCACAAATTTAAAGTCACTCAGCGTACGAGTGAGTGAGCCATGCTTGGGGATTCTCTGATGGACCGAATTTCTAATGAAGTCAGATGACGGAGAACTTATTCGCTCACGCGATACATGCAGCCGTAGACGTACACACCTAGAGGTGACGGTGATGATTTTATACCGATTTATCGGATATAGAAGTTATAACAGGTAAAAGAACTAATATTAATTGCTATTTCGGTAACTACTCTAGCAAACCGTAAAGTTTTTAATGCCTTGGTCTGTCATTTAAAAAAATAAACAACCTTTTAGGATTTGCGGTGTATTACTGCATTTTATTTGAGATGTTTTTGTTGTAGTACGGAGGGTATTTATTTAGCAATGCAGAATAATAATTTTTATTTATAAAAACTTGTATTTAAACTGAATCCTTTTCTAATTTGCGAAACCAAATAGCCGCCATTTTGCGGTAGGATGAGCGCATCGCGTGAGCGGATAAGTGGCCGACATAGCTCCCAAAATACGCAAGCTTAAATGGCAGTGGACCGGACATGTCTGCAGGAGAGCTGATGGCCGATGGAGTAGACTTGTTCTAATGTGGTGACCACATCAAGGCAAACGTTGTGTTGAACGCCCTGCGACAAGATGGATGAACGATCTGTAGAATGTGGCCGGCAACGTCTGGATGCGGGGGATACAGAACCGAGAGAGTTGGCGTGCTCATGACGAGGCTTATCTCCAATGCATTCATTATTCAGGGTCTCGATTACGTGAAACTGGGAATTATGTTATACCAAAAGTGGAATGTAAACTCCTAAAGGCGTTCCTGCAAAATTCTGATGATTACAATGTCGAAACACGTATCCTTTTATCGTAATAAATGAGCACTGCAGGCAAAGCAATTTACATCAGTGACTCGACTTCATTCTATGTGAGAGAACCGGGTGCCACTTGACAAGATCCAGGACACGTTTCATTTAATGAGGAGTAATACGCGTCATGTTTTTCTTTAGCAACGTGTTGGCCTATTTTCGCCGGCATCTTAATTGTAAGCTAATAGGAAGTCAAATCTCGGAATGCTATGTACTTGTAATTGGGCCGTTCTCCTTTAGCAACACAGCCATATACTAGACTGAAAGCTATTTAGATAGTATCATTTTTAACCATACTAATATTAGAAATGCGAAAGAAACTCTATAATCAGTCATTCATCAAACACCAATACTGATGAATTCTGGGACCTAAAAGAAGGACATAGGCTTCTTTTTGTCACAAAAAATTATCTTAAACAGGGAGCGAAAGCTATGAAAATTAGTATAATACAATAGGCTACTCGAAGTGCTTGATCTACGCAGACGTAGTCTCGGGCACAAGCTAGTAATATAATGTTAACTTAGGAAATAAAACTATTTTTCCGGATTTAAATGGCGTATATTTGTTTTTTTCAAACAAACCCACATTTTGGGCCCTTTACAGGTACTGAAGTGGCACAGTCTTCAACCAGTTATGTCTAATATTAATGCAAACCATGGTGGATTTCATTAATATTAGACTTGAAATTAGAATGTTTTTTTAATTTCAATGGCCTCTCGCAGCATCCTGGATGCAGGAGTTTACAAGCTTGACTGGGAGTGCGGTCTCTCTTATATTGGACAAAAGAAGCGAAGTATTTGTACCCGCGTCAAAGAACATATAGCTGATGTCAAACACCGACGCGTAAACAAGTCTGCAGGCTGCGAGCATGTCATGAATAAACCTACACGTTCAATGAAGTTTGACAAACCCCAGGTCCTTACAAAAGAAGTCCGTTAGCTACCCAGGATGCTGCGAGAGGCCATTGAAATTAAAAAACATCCTAATTTCAACAGGGAAGATGGTTTCTCCGTACCACCAGTTTGGGATCCAGTGTTTCCTCTGATGAATCCCAAACTGACATAAGACTGCAGTACTAATTAATATGTTTTAGTTTGTTCTAATTTCTATTATTAATTAATAATAAATTAGACTTAATAGAAATTCATTCCATAACATAATTTGTAAAACTTAATGTAGCGTAAATTGGGATGTTTTCTTTGTAAAATTAAAAATAAGGTATTTAATTAATAACTATTGTAACTAAAGTGAAAAAATAGTGTGGTTTGCATTAATATTAGACATAAATGGTTGTAGACTGTACCACCTCAGTCAACCGTGACCATGGGACCTGTAAAGGGCCGGAATCGTCGGTTTGTTTGAAAAAACAAAGCGATTTAAATCCGGAAAAATAGTTTCATTTCCTATGTATAACAATCGCGAAAACCTAAGAACTCGATAATGTTAACTTTACAATACTATGTAAAAATATTTTGTAAACTGCAAATTTATTTTATTATGTATATCAAAATGTGGTACTCCAAATGTTACTAGAATTATGACGTGTTTTATTTGATTTAGTATGCGTCATATAAACTTCGTTACGTAATATCTTGGCATTCCCTTTCTTTTATCTTCCTATCTTTGAGTAAAATCAAATTACTTTTTAATTATTCTAAGCATTATCACATAAATAATAAATATATTGATCCTGTATAACCATAATGGAATTCATAAATTATAGGTATGATTCATCGTTTTAATAATCACTAAATTTGCCGAGTCATCACGAAATTTGCCGAGTCATAAATTTATTTTAAATTACGAAAGATATTGATTGACCTGATCATCGATTTTCGACGACGTATCCGCATGCTAAATCATAGATAAGACGTACATAGTTTATCTACTTGTTATAATTTAATCAATAAAAAGATAAACTTACGTTGCTAATTCCATCCTAAATCAGAAATCAATTTTGATATATTATACTTTTCATTTTCTGTGTATCTTGTACCTGTCCTACATGCAGTACTATTGAATAAAAGTGCATCTTTATTACGTACAGCTACTTCTACAGTTGCTTAATCTCAACTCATCATCATTAATAACCTATTGTATATCTTACTGCTGACCTAATAAGTCCAACTAGTCCATCACACTGGGTTAATGCGGGTTGGGAAATTCACACGCCTTCCAAGGATTTGAACCGTCTTCAACATTTTTAATCAAGTTTTCTTTTACCGTTAGCGAAATGTATTGTTTCCAAACTTTGCCAAATGTAAGAAACTTTAAATTAAAGTCATAGGTATTATTTATGTCGCCAAGCAGTAAAGTGAGCATTACAGCGTTTCAATTTTGAAGGGTAAGGGTGCTGGAGAAATTACAACCACATGGGACTTGTATTATATCTCGGAGTGATAGGCGCAGTGGTAATGCCCCTCAGATCTTTGCGATTTTAAGCTCTGGATGGCACTGAAACTGCTACGGAAAGGCGTGTCGCTTACCACCAGACGCACGACTTATTCGTCCCATCCCTAGGTATTATAAAAAAAACCGGAATGTATACTAAATACCAAATTATACAGAGGTTGTCTATGTTGCACTTTATGTAATAGGTGCAAAAATTCTAAATTTGTGTTACTACAGATCAATTGCTAATTTTTTTTTAACTTAGCCCGCCTTAACAGGAGTTTTAATGGGTTATCTCACTGTCTCCACAATTTAAACTTTATGAATAATTTCCCAGGTGCTATCGTCTCGCACCTGAGACCCTAATTACAACTTAAAATCATATTTTATTACAGGCTGAAGAAATCCACGTCATCCAATTGCAGGATAGACGACATAGTAAACACAGGATCGGAAAGTTTGGCATGAGAAAAAGAAGGATCCAGCAGCAGGTAATACAGGGCTGAAAATTAATGAAACGAAAGGTATAAAAAACAAGTTATTATATTATTTTTAATAAATTGCTATTTATAACTCGAAACTCGTGGACTACAACGTACTAACGTGTAAGAACGCAATTACTATTTTTTTTATGAGTAAGTAAACATTTTAACATGTTCAGACCGGCGGTCCCACCTGTGTGTGCTGTGTACCACCGGTGGCCACACAGCACTTGGCTTTGGTATACTAAGAAACCCACGCTGCCATGAGAGAAAGTGCTAAATGTAATGCTTCCGCCCAGTGCAACTGTCAAATTTTCATAATGTAGTTCATTATATTGATATTGTGTAAGGCAGTAAAAAAAAATTAAGGTTAAAAAAATATTTATTTGAAAATAGAACTAGAAATGTACTTAACAGAAAAACGAGAATAAACATGGCAAATTTTTTCTGATCAATTGTATTAAAACGGCCAGTACGGCAAAAAGTAGGTTAATTAGAAAGAGATAAAGCATAATTTTGCCGTGTCCACCGATGGCACACCCCGCCCCGATACATTTTTTGGTTGATGGAGTGATAATGTACCACCGGTGGCCATGTGAGAATTTTTCTCGCCGGACAGCTAATAATGGCAATTTTGTTCCCAGTCTGAACGTGTTTAAAAAGGACGATCGCTGTTCTGTATTGTCTATTTGACGTTAATATTAAGATAACAATGAGGATTATTTCTAATAATTTGCACGGATAAGATTAAAACTTGAAATTCACTCTGATTTCACGAAGTCTTACTAACATTTGTTTCTGACAGCATTACTAATATTAAACGCGCGACAGGTGTAATTAGTACCTACTTCGCTATTTTTGTTACTAGTGATTATTTGACATTCTTAAAATGATGTTAATTAATATTATTATTATAATATTTAGCTCTTTAGTGTTAATCGATGCTACGGTTATCGAAAGGGACCCCGCACATCCAGCCTTTGATCCAAATATATACGAGGAAGCTTTAGATCCTGAGCTTTGTGCAAAACAACTAGAATATTTGGCTTTGAACGATACGCTTCTGAGAATGACATGTAAGTACTGTAAAAAGATTGAATTTATAAATTTGTATCAATCTGCAAATACGAGGAGGCTGAGACGATCTTGATAATTTTTTTTCAATATCCATTAAATATACATTTCATTTGTTATTACAGAATCATTATAGTGTTAAAAAAGTAGGTTTTTTTGTTTCAAAATGTTGTTCATGAAAAGCGAAACGTTAAAAGCAAAATAGTGTCACATAGTGTCAAAAAATAGTGTCTTTAACATGGAATAAGTCACGATAATGGCCAGTATCATTTTATAATTGGAAACAGTCAAGAAAGATTACTTTTCAGCTGTCTCTCGTAAATGAGAAACAGAGTGATTCCTACGGGACAAATTAAGACATAAAGCATTAACACCGTACGACACAAAGCACCGTAAAGCAATCGTAACTTTTATTATATATTATAATTATTGCTGTATATTAAACTAGTATATAAAAACACAATAAAAACTCAATATTTTTAGTAGAACGTACATTCCTCGGCCAACTGTGCTATAGAAAATAGCAACAAAATACAAAATATATTAAGCGTCAAATAATAAACGTAATTTTAACAAAAGAAAAAATAAGACGTATAAAATAACGAAAACCTATCTTACAGTTCTCGAGGCGGGTCCAAGAATTCCAAGAGGGATCCTACAATTCAATCTTCTGGACCTAGGAAACTACCGTCAATGCCTTGGTATTAACAGAGAAGTTGATGACATGGTTATTGATGGGAAGTATTGTCTAGTAAGAACTGGATCGCCAGGGCTTGCGAGCTTAGGAGATACAATTGAATTGGAAAATATAAACAAAGCTGCTGAGAATTTAAAAGATAAAATAAACTCATTCCAAAGAATACGACAAGATTTACTAGCTTTGGGTGGAATAGAAAGTAAAAAATCTATAAGGTAAGAGTTAACGTGAAAAAATATGGTTACTGAGTAGATTCCTTTTGAGAGATGCATGTTATTTTGGTAAATATCAAGATTAGATACTTAGAAATGTTGACATTTACTATGTATTTTTGCTTTTTAGAACGGATTTAGGTTTACATTTTACTGTGGCTGTTTGCATACCGAAACCTTGCTCCCTAAGACAGGCGCTACCGATTCTCATTGGAAGTGGGTTGTTGGAAAGTGAGGAAATATATTGCCGATTTAAAAATGATAAACCCTGGGCACCAGGGGTTTATGTGGCTATGTAAGTACTTTTGCATTATTTTTCTGACATCTGCATTGTACACCATGTAACAACATTTTACTGTAATCCAGGATTATTTTTTTATCCGTAACAGATTGGATATTACCAAAATGTGTTTACATTTACGCATCTAATGAAGGATTTTTTTTTAGAGTAGTCTTCAGTTTAATTGGTTTAGTGACCATTCTTAGCACAAGCTATGATATTTGGAATACGATTATTTGGAAACGAGGTAAGTTTCTATAATATAGTTATATCAATAGATAAATCAAAGCTATAGCAATAGCATAGCAAACATCTCTGTATTAGCATCTAGATATTTTGAACCTTTAAAATTATTGGAAAAAACTTATTGGACCGAATTGAATCTTATCTTGAAATGTGATTTGATCGAAACTAAAGTTAATTTGAAAATAATTAAAAATACACCTTACAATCATTGAAATGGAATTTATTTTTTATCACATTTTATTAAGTTTGATATTTTGGATCAACGAAACGATTTAAAATTTTTCTGTGGATTTATTCGTCTGATATTTCTAAACATTCTTTCGTTAACTTAATGTCTCTTTATTAATATTTTTTATTTAATTTATTATAACAATACGTATAAATATCAATGTAATAAAGTTCGGCTTCTTAAAATCGGTTTTAGTAGTTAAATATTCTACATAATTTTCCAATTGGTGTGCAGCTCTCAAGAGCTGAACATGTGTCCATTCAGTTTACATTTTCGCTGCTTTTTTGTTAGCTCTTTCCAGTCTCACTATTCTCAGCACGTTTTGATAATGTTAATTGTATATTTTTTTGCGTTGGAGAACTCCCACGAGTTATTTTTTCTTCTAGTTTGCCTAGTACTATAGTTTCTTAAGCATTGCCGGGTATTTTTTTCGGCTCTAAATCCAGTATATTTATCGAGTTATTAGGTTTATTAGGCAGAATATCGGCAAGAGCAATGTGCTTCATAGTTCGCTAAGACATACGAGTAATGTGACATTTGTCTCTGAAAAAATAGTTTCATTTCCAATTTACAGGAAACTATCTATTAATTTTTATTTTTAACATGTTTGGTATTAAATTGTTTTCTATTAATTTCAGATCCGAAATCCTTAAATACAATTTATCAATCGTTCTCAGTATATACAAATGCTCGTCGCCTCATCACATATAAACCAGTTCGCGGAGCTTTAGAATGTGTCGATGGCGTCAGAGCATTATCTATGGCCTGGGTTGTAATCGGGCACACATTTATTACTTTACCACCTGTTCTAAATAATTTGGACTATTTTGAGGTACATTAATTTTTATTATTATAATGAATAATACATCTCTCCTTAATTTCAACTAACGTTTTCACGGATATGTACCTACCCGTAATCATTATGATTCAGGCAGACATTATTTTTTCAAACAAAACAAAGAAAAATTAAAATTCGATTGGTGGCATGTCTCTCTTGTGTTAGAAAACGCCGCTGCGTTATTGTCCTCCATAGAAAACCAAGGCAATTACGGGTATAACGCCGGGAATATATTTACGATGTTATTTATTAATTAGTGTCGTAAGAGCTCGTAGACAAAAATTAATACTTTCAACCAAACAACCAACCATTACCAAAATTTTAAAATTAAGAATAAGAAGATACTATTGTATTATGTACTATATATGTATATTATATATATAATTATTTGTTCCAGTGGGGTATGTCATTTCGTGCGATATGGATTACTGCAGCTCCACTAGCTGTAGACACTTTCTTTACGCTCAGCGGTTTGCTTATCGTCTACACGTCTTTTGGAAAACTTAGCAATAGTAAGTATATTTTTAATAATTTTGACTGTAATATTTATATAACCAGGTGCAGTGATTATGATTATTGGTGTTACCGGATCTTTCATCCTCATGTCATTGACCACTCATTAGCACGAAGCGGTTCGCTTCATCTTTCCTGAAGCGTACGGCAAAGTGGAATTAACTACCGACATCTATGTTTCCCGAAAGCTACAATTACAAACCAGTCCCCTAACCGCCCACGCGATGCGCTCCTCCTACCGCAAAATGGCGGCTATTTGGTTTCGCAAATTAGTAAAGAATTCAGTTTAAATACAAGTTTTTATAAATAAAAATTATTATTCTGCATTGCTAAATAAATACCCTCCGTATTACCAACAAAACGTCTCAAATAAAATGCAGTAATACTCCGCAAATCCTGCACTTAAAAAGCACTAATGAAATTTTTGGTGTACTTGGATAAATATGATAATTTTCAGTTTGAGTGGTTCTAACGTTTACCATTAAATTACTACTTAAAGTATAGTTTATAAACATTTATATTCAGGGTAAACTTTAAAAACGCTACTTACGGTATGTTTTCAATAAATAAACACCGAAATCACCAGCCCGGTCAATAACACACACGATTTTCGTGACGTATTTTTGAAGTTGTTTATTTTTTTTAAATGACAGACTCAGGCATTAAAAACTTTATGGTTTGCTAGAGTAGTTACCGAAATAGCAATTAATATTAGTTCTTTTACCTGTTATAACTTCGATATCCGATCGGTTAAGTTCATGATAAAACGTCGCTTATGCGATAAATAACCGAACTTGTTTCATTTAAATCATTATCGGGCCATTATTCGTCCAACTGCTGGGCTGGGATAGGTTCATTAGAATTGTCAATTTTTTTTAAATACATATATAATTTAGAACTATGTCCATTAAAAATACAAAGAGGAAATATATTTCAAAGTTTTAATTCGGTACTATATATCCAATCCACCTATATTTATTTACTGTCTATATTTATTATATCGCACCCTTAGTAATATAAGGGCACAATCCAAAAAAAGTAGATTTTTGGGAAATTTGGGAATTGATAGGGACTTAAATAATAAATGGGATCAAACTTATATAGCTCCATATTTCTGTTATATTTTTTGTACTATATGGGTCTAACTTGAAAGTGTTTTTTTAACTTGCTTGAAACTTATGGAATTTATTTATATTATTTTTTTTTTATTGCTATTTATAATACATTTATCAAAGAACAAATCTGCCAAATTTCATATTTATAACTTAAATAATAAGCATGTTATTTGAAAAAATAGGTGTAATGTAGGAATCTAGAATCTATACGCGATTTCCCAAAAATCTACTTTTTTTGGATTGTGCCCTTATATTACTAAGGGTGCGATATATGTATAAAAATTGATTTGATAGTATTACCAGTACATAAGATTAAAGAAGACAATAACGCAATTAGTAATCATTAGAACGTCGTAACATTCACAATTCTGATATTTAAGTCAAAATTTTACCTTGTAATTACATCACACATTTTATCTAGCCATAAAACTGTCAACAACAACTACATGACTTTTTAAAATTTTATGAAAATTGGCAACCCTGCAAATGTCAAACAAAAGAATGTGAAAATGTTCTATGTTCTGTCTTTTTTGTACACGGAATAAAATATCATGGTCACTATTTATATATAATTAAATCAATATTTCAAAATAGAAGACGCTTAGCGACATTATATCTTGTGCGTTATTTTTTATAATTGCCATATCTAAAAAACTAATAAAATTTAAAAACCACTCATTTCCGGACATTACTGTGACGGTGTGACCTCCTTACACCGTCATCCCACCTTTTTGTATCGCCTCTCTCCATTCATGTCGTATCGTTTTTCTTCTTCTAATCATAATTAAATTTAAAATTTTCAATTGTTCCATTTTCCTTCACATTCTTATTTTATTTCCTTCGACGGTCACTCCTGCTTGACCGCAATAGCGGATACTACTAAATCAAATTGTCTAATTTTTTTTTATTCTTTTCAAGTTTAATCATAATACAATCAATGTAAATCATGTATCGACTATAACAAGCGAATAACAGTCTATCTGTAATTCAACATAATACAGCCCGATAAGGGTTTTTTCTTTACTTTACCTTTTGCTTCACGTTAAATAAATATGTGGACCGGAAGTTTCCTGTTTTGCTGCCGTGATCCTGATCACGGTTGTTAGGGTTGCAACATGGTTACAATAGCTTTCGCGATATTTAATGAATGAACCAAAGAGTTTTTTCACTATTGAATAAAAAGAAATTTCAATTATCTTATGTACGGTTTAATTTGGTATTTTACTTTAATTTGCTATTTTCTCGTGTATTTTACTACTAATACTATATTATCTATCGAGTTTTTAGGTTTTCGCAATTGTTACACATATGAAATGAAACTATTTTTCCGGATTTAAATCGCGTATATATTTTTTTTTCAAACAAACCGACGTTTCGGGCCCTTTACAGGTCCCATGGTCACGGTTGACTGAGGTGGTACAGTCTTTCAACCAGTTATGTCTAATATTGATGTAAACCACCTTATTTTTTCACTATAGTTACAATAGTTATTAATTAAATACCTTTATTTTTAATTTTATTTTAATTTTATTTTTATTATACTATCTATATAATATCATTATACTAACACTATATTATCTCTTAATATAAGTTGGTATTTAGCACATCAGTGGTTCGGTCTCATCCTGCTATTGCTTATTTCCTGTTTTTTTTTGTTGGTGACTTATGTTTTGGAGATCTATGATCTAATGATCTCCAAAACATAATTCCTAAATCCTCCTCTAAAGGACGATTTTAACAGTATAAAATTCATAGGCATTTCAGTGTACGGATTTAATCAGAATTTGTCTTCATGATTTTTTTTGTTTACAGTGAAACTACTAAACAACCTCCACTTATTTTACCTCAACCGAATTCTACGAATGTTTCCTCTACTAGTCACTGCTATTTTGCTACAAGTTGGTGTATTTCATTACATTCACGACGGTCCTTACTGGCATACACAAGCTTCCATGACTGAAGAGTGTAGAGTAAATTGGTGGTCAACATTACTTTATGTGCAAAATTATGTTCATCCAATGGTACGTATTGGCGTTTTGTGATCGTATTGTCAAATAATGTAGAAATTTCTTGTAATTTTCGTTTTTTTTTCTACCATTTCAAGTGATTATCAATTTTTCATCTCACTCACCGAATGTTTGGAAATTTTTGTTATGTAACATAGAATATTAATTATTAATTAATGAACACTGTACAATGCCATAGTTAGCGTTAGTTTACGAATGTTCAGGAGTTGGTTTGAATATTATGTTTACTTTCAGTGTATACCTCATTCCTGGTATTTAGCAATTGACATGCAACTACACATTCTGTCTCCATTGATTTTATTCTGGGTATTGTCAGGAAAAAAGATTCTTGCCTGGTCAGCTTTAATTGGTGCGTTATTACTTTCTCTCACGGCTTCATCAATTTACAACTTCTTGAATAATTTTACTGGTACTTCTGCGCGACCTGTGTAAGTATTGTATTACCAATAGATTTTTATCGATTTTATTGCCATAGCGCCATCTATCAGAAATTTAAGAAAGTTTTTCTTCACACAGCTAGGTACCTTTATAGCTATCTACCTGCGGCTGACTAGAAATGACGCTTTAGTAATTGTATTATTAAGTTTAATGAATATCACTATGTTTTACTATCACTACCAGTTTGTTATAATTGTTAACACAAATACTGAACACAAAGAAAATTCCTTCGATACGGCTGAATCAAAAACAATGATCTGCAAATAAATTGTTTAAATATTAATATATTTAATGTTCTGAACAAATTTATTAAATTCATAGATGATATATTTTTTAGTATATAACTGGATTATAAATATTTGTTAGATTGAATTTTTATCGCACACTTCGAAAGTAACTACTTTTCTTAACGTTAAAACGTTAAGAAAACGTTAGAACGTTAAACGTTAACGTTAAAAGTAACTACTTTTCTTAATGCTGTAGTGACCATGTTGATTCAACATAATTATTACTGACGGCTGATCCCGTCACCTTCATAGCAGCACAGTAAACTGTTCTTGCAAATGTTTATTGTGCGTAAATACGAGTAAGTACGGCCATGCCAGCGGTGCAGTGATTTTATTTCATTTATTTCAGCAAAAAAAGTCTAAGTCTATACATTAAAATAGCGTACACCGTAAAATAGCGTAACCCTTGCAGTATAAGAAGACAAATAAAAGTTATTATGTACTAACAATTCCAAAAGAAATAATTACTAATTAGATTATATTTAAGCAGTGATGAAGGTTATTTATTTATCATTTGAATAATTTAATCACAATCTTGGAAAGTAGTAAGAGAGGTGGTTTTGATTACTAATAGTATACTGTATGTATCGTTCAGTTATTCATCAGATTTAAACGAAAATTAATTAATTCGTTTCACCAAGATGGCAGAAATAACTTACCTAACTAACCTGACTTTAAATGCGAAAACACGTTTCATTATTATTTTTTATAGAATAGGGTTTCTGCAGTACACATTATTGGTTTATTGAATTACTAAAAAACTTTACATTTGAGGGATTTTTTTACTGTCAGAAAGTTCCAGCGCGACAACAAACTACACAACCACAAAAGGCAGTCGCTGGCGACGCACTGACATGTCCGGTCTTACATCACCTCATACAAACACGTCGGTATTCACCGCACTGTCTTGGTGTGCACATATTAAATATGTGTGTGTAACGTCCACAAATGTATCTCAAATAAATCATTCAATTTTGTCAGTACATTGTTGATACTTCACTATGGAGAAGCAGTAGGCGACAACTACAAAGAAAGCACTTGGAGCTCGCGTAGTAAAATCCGTAGTAGTTTTTATAAGATCCATATATCGAAACGATATAGCCCGTACTGTCCATATTCGAATTTTTCATTTTACGGTAACCGCCGTTACTGTCCATGAAAGGGTTAAGTTATTTACACGACTCTCACTGTACATTTATACAAATTTCTATATTTTTTTTTTTATTTCAGATTGTCTCTAGAAGAGACTGATAGATACTTTAGAAATTATTACTTCAATACATTAACAAGATGTTCACCTTTTTTGGTTGGAATGTGCTTCGGGTACTTGATCCACTTTTGGCGAGAAAATAATATTCGACTGCCAAGGGTAAGTTTAGACCGTTAGTTAAAGTACAAGTGAAAAGTGAAAATTAATGCTCCTTTTTCGAATTAATGTAAATATAATTCCACATCTCGATCTTTTTCGCAATAAACTATACGATAGCCCATCATAGTAAATGTATGAAAATTCGACGAGTGTGTCGGTGCCACAAGATGTACTGCGTCGGTGTTTTGACGCTTGAATATAACGCTACATTGTACCGTGTATAAAATTAGAACTAAAGCGTGAAGCACACAGAAAGCGAGTGCGGGTCGTGCCCGTGTCGAGTCGGGAGCGCGGCGCGTGTAATTTCGTCTATCTCTGTGGACGACAACAAACCACGCGCGTGCACGGGACCCGACCTGCGCCCGTCCCGCACCCGCTTTCGGTGTGTTTTACGCTTAAATGTCACATGGCGCGTTGAAACGGCGCGTTGCGTTGGAACTCGTGCGTATCGTATAAGTGGTCAAGAAAGGGAGATTCCACACGGGTGTTGCGTCGTCGTAACTGCGTTTTACTACATATAAACCAGAACGACATGCCACACGGTGCATTGAAACAGCGCGCGAGTCGACGGAACAGCTCGTGTGGCGCTCAGTCCGTTGAAATAATAGCACAACGCGGTTACGACGACGCAACGCCCGTGTGGAATCTCTCAAACGAAGCGGGGAGAAGTGCTGCGTTACGGGTCGACATCGCACTGCTTATGTGGAACTCGGTGCATTCAACTCATAGCGATGCGACAACGCAAAGCACAGGCCACTACCGTGTGGCATCGTTGTAGCTGAATTAAAAGATCCATATGCAGAATGTCTGTTACTGCGAATTTTTACTGTCTCGGGCAAAGCGTGCATAATTAAATAAGGAATGACACAAAAATTATTGTTTTACAGGTCATCAATTGTATATTATGGGTCGTAAGCATAGCCGTATTGTGGTTGGCGTTATACGCCTGCGAACCTTTTAAAAATATTGAGTTTGATAAGCAGATCTATGACAACTTTGTGAATTCATTCATGCGACCAATGTGGGCTCTTGGACTTGGCTGGCTTATTCTTGCTTGCGCCGAAGGTTACGGAGGTGAGCAAATGTTTTTTTTAATTAATGCCTATTTGATTTATCCTTAAATAACCCAAGCTTTGTTGTCTCATGGAAATACAGTACTATATTACAATATAATTAAAACAGTATTTATTTTCTTCTATGAAATTGACATTGATTTTTTTTTGTCTACATTAAAAAAATTACGGTTACACTAATGGTAAATTTAAATTAAAACAACAGCAAACTATACAATTTGAATATATTTTACAACTCATAACTATAGAGTCTTGAAGTTGACATAAAAACAAAAACAAACAGGAAATTTCGAAAATATCTAAATTTAGAATTGATTAGTGTTTATTTATAGATTAGTTTTTGCGTTCCAGCCACATTAAATATATTGAAAATTTACTGGCAATGCCTATTACATTTACTCTATAAAGCTTTTTCTTTATTCATTTTTTAATTGCTTAATTGGAAAATGTTTAATAATTTCATTTAACACTCTATACACTAAATTTGAGTTTTGCTACGCATATACAAAATAATGGTTGAACGTGATGTATTTTAATTAGTAAAATTTTATTATGTAGTTTATGAGATTGGTGTGTAGGTACCAATAATGAAATGATACTGTCACTTTCTATAAAGAGTCCAGTGCATAATGGTGTTAAACACTTTCAGGCCCGATTAACTGGTTCCTGTCGCTACGTATGTGGAAATTGCCATCTCGCCTTTCGTATGGGATATATTTGTTCCATTTTCCAATTCAGTATGTTATAAGTGGTGCAATGTCGCAGCACTTTTTCTTTTCTGTGTTAAATTGTGTAAGTATATTACTTGTCTACATTATTTTAACTTGATCATTGGTGTTTTCTAATAATTACGGATTAATGATTAAAGAAAAAAATTACAAATGGGATACCGTCCCCATTGCTTTACCAACTAAGCTCGAGTCAACTAGTCGAATTACCAAGTCGACGAATTTCTTCTATGTGTCCGTTGTAGACCTTGGCATTGAGTGTTTTCTTCGCCGTAAGGGACATCTGTGAGAGATTTTATGAACCTTCTCACTCAGCCGGTAAGTTTATAGTTACCTTACGCTGACGTTGATGTCCTTTGTATGAACGTGTATTATTGAATTGTTTTATTTTGTGAAATAACTCCTTTAGTTTGCTATAATGACTAAGTACAAATATCGAACACAAAGTAATATTCCTACCCGCAGTACTTCCCTGAACAAACCCTTTCACAAGGAGCTCTACCGCTACAAAAGTATCAGATAGTACGATAAAAAGTATTATATATTTTTTAATAATTTATTATGTTTTGTAAAAAGATATGGAACAAAAGTTCTAGTAGGTATATGATGTTAGTAACGTAGTTCTGTGAAGGTTGTTAATATTTTACAAATAATCTTTTATGTTGAATCATTTAATAATAACGTTCCTATCATATTATTATCATAGATCTAATAATTACTGCGTGATTTCTTGTGGTGATATCATCTATCATGAAAATTGCAACATATTATTTCATAATTATGTAAACAAGGTGTGCCTTATTCCAGCGTGACCATAGTCGAGTTTTTGAAATATGACTAGCCAGAAAAGTCGCCATTTAGTCGGTTCTACTCGCAAAAGTCCGCCGTTCAAAAGTTATAAGGGTATTTTACTGTCCATTTCTCAATCTCGAGAACCACAACACCTAGCTTAGATCTGATTACACTAAAAAAATATCGTGATTTAGTCGGTTCTAATCGTAAAAAACTAGATTTAGTCGTAACGCTATTTTGAAGTTATAGTTATTAAAATTTAAAGAATTAAAATTAAAAGAATGATTAAATTAAAATAAATAAGAGTCAGATATAAAGTACAAATTAAATTAACATCTTTTAACGTCGGTTTGGTACATACAGCCTTACATAAACTTTAATTTAAAAAAAGAAAATTAAACGCTGTAACAGTTTAACATTGATTATAATCCAAATTTAATAAATAAGAAAACTTTTCCAACTAACCCACCTGACTGACCCAAAGTAGATCTTGGCCTCCAACACCAAAAAACGCCATTCCTTTCGGTGTGCCAGTGCCGACCATTCGGGGATATTCAGGTTTTTGGCGACTTTAACTTTTGGAAGACGACTGGTAGGTTGCAAATACGCCCTTTTGGTCGCTCGACTAAAATTGACGAAACTTTCAAGAACGCAAAATAAAAGCTTTGAGTTTGAATTTGATTAAACTCGAACCACTTGACCAACCTGTATTTATAGGAAATGTTGTGAGTGAAAAAATATGTTGGTCGACTATATTTTTTTTTTCGAATTAGATCTAAAACAGAAAATAAAATAACCGGCCGGACTTTTAAAAAAAGTTCATTATTTTCAGGATTTTACAAAAATAATGTTTCTCTAAATGTACTGGTGGCCTACCACAATCTCTTAAAACAATATTACTTTAACCTTACATTGACTTTACGTACCATGCTGCGCTTATAGTAAGCTTATTATAATGTTAAAACTATGATGTTTTATTGACAGCTTTGTGACTATTCATTCACTCAGTTCGTAATATGACGCGACTATAACATTAAAGTCACAGAGTTAAAGTAATATTGTTCTTATATCAAATTTAGCAATCTTAAAATAGTTACTCGTACGCAGTGGAAACAATATTATTTTCGAATATATTATCTAAGTATTGATTTCTACTGATTAAAAGTTATGTTGAATTTATTTATTTACATGAATCTCTTCAATATTTTTTTTTATTTTATAGTACATAGGAAATAATTTCTCGTTATATAAAAATACGCGATGTTTATTTCGTAAAGCAAAGTGACTATCAAGACTCAGCTTGTTTTATTTATTTTTCTTCATGAAAAAGCGGAAAAATAATTGAAAACAACGTAATTTTGATACATTTTATTATTACATACTTTTATTTTTTTTAACAGTTAAGATTCACTGAGTGTAAATAACATTAAGTACTTAAAGATTATACTATGATAATACGATTCGAAACATCAAAAAAGAAAGAGATGGCACTATATAGTTCATATAGCGTTATTTCTTTCCTACTTTTAGTAAGGAATAGACAATATTGGGAAATCATTCGTTCTTTCAATCACTTTAGCAATAATAGATTTGGTTGGCAGGTTTGTCATGGTACGAATATGAGTAATACATATTATAATAAGTTACTTTAATCTTACATTGAAATAAGATTGTTTTTGGAAAGGTTATGGTACCAGGTGTTTGTTTACTTTTATATAAACTACAACCTTCAAAAGTCGAGTTCTTATGTTTTCACGATTATTACACATAGGAAATGAAACTATTTTTTTCGGGTCTAAATTACTAATACACATAATATATATTTATTTATACTATATTTATTTTTTCCAACAAACCCGTATTTTGTTTCAAAAAACAAATATACACGAGTTAGATCCGAAAAATACTTTCATTTCTTATAAGCAACTGTAAAAGTTAATCATCAATTTCAATTTCTCTCTGCTAAAAAGCTTTATGCTTTATTAGAATTTAAGATTGTGATTTTTAAACTTGTTTTATTTGTTTCAGATTTACAACTTCTGCGGTCAATTTGTGATAGCTTTTACAGTCAGCTTTATTTTTACAGTTTTGATAGATTCTCCCTTTTCCACTATTGTCAAGATACTACTGGGTGGCGGTGAGTTATAAAATATACGTACAACATTGAAATTCATACATTTATCAAATGTTTCTTACTTTTAAAAGTAGCACTTTATACCTACAAATGAAGTTACAAGACTGTCCGAATTTTCATTTGAGGTGAAATGAATTTGTAAATAAAAATAATGTAATTTTTCCCGTTAGTATTTATTTTTTAAATGTTCTTCTAATACAAAATTATGTTTTGCAGGTATCAAAAAATCAGGTTCAGAGCAACCAGGTGATAAAATGAATACTCAAAGAACAGTCGGGACCAATCAGGAAAAAAGCGAACCGATCGAAGATCGAAGTAGAGTAGCAACATGAAATCATAAATTACATATATTTTTTATTATATCTATATACGCTGTCGTGCTAGCCCTACTGAGGGGTACCGCCACTGCGCCCGTCACTTCAGAACGCAGTAGTACTCACATTACTGCTTGGCATCAGAAATATATCTTGGTACTTGGTACTTGGTGTAACGGGCTGGTGTCCGCAAATGCTAGCAGTACTTTCCTGTTAACTACACTATATATAAAATATTATCGTACATACACTTGAAAGATTGGTTTCCCTCTACTAACAAACTGTGGTAGATATGGACAGTTATTTTCTTGTTGTGTTGTCATTTTGTATGATAAAATTGTATAACTAAATCAATTACGTAATTAATTTTAAGAGAGACAAAACTTTTTTGATTGAAACTGGTTAAGTAAATTGGTTTGAAATTTAAATTAGTTTATTAGATTTATAACACCAGGAATAAAACACTAATTAATAATTTGTTTACTTATTGTAAATATATTTACACATCGATTAACTAAGTAATGGACACTTTACATTTACATTCATAATAACTTAAGCTAAAACTGTTGCCACCCTTCGCCAAGCTGTTTCCGTAGATACACAATATGTCAAATTGTGACTCAGCTACAGAGAACTATGACGCATATTGCTCTCGCTGATATTCTAACATAACCCGTAATGTTTGAGAACACACAAAACATTTTTAAACACTGAATGGGCGGTATTAAAACTTCTGATTTTTATTGAAAAATCGAGGATTGGAAGGTTCACATACATATATCTTTAGGAAGGTTTAAAATAGCCATGTATTATTTCGACAAGAAAAACAATTTATTTTTTTAAAAAGGGATGAATAAAACAAAAGGAAGAATCAAATATTAATTTAAATTTATATATTGTCATTAATTAGTATTTGAAACTTATTACGTAATTTACTTCACCTGATGTTAATTGAAAACTGGAATCCAAACGTGAAGGAACCTATGCAGTGTTGATACTATCACAACCCTAGCCACCTCCACCCTAAATACCTACAACATGCCTCTTCACGCTTTGTTTGAAGGAGCCCACATAAACAGCTTTAGATACTTATTATATTATGACTTCCTGTATAGTTACAGAAACGGTTTCAATTTATTTCCAAGAGCTCCGTTGCCACGATTTCTTTTTCCTCACCTTTCTTTTTCCGTCTGTCGTTCGTCGGTTCTTCCGATGAAATTCATTGTCATTTGTAGTTGACATTGCCATCGGTGATACGTGTGGCGCACTTTTCCGTAATGAATAAAAAAAATACTATGTTCGATCAGAAATGAATTTATTGTTTCACAAAATATTCTCCGTTAGCGTTAATGCACTTTTTCATACGAATGAACCAATTTTGAAAACATGTATGCCTCTCATCCGTGACAATCTCTGAAACAAATTTTTCATACTCTTTGACAACCTCTTCAGGTGATGACAATCGTTGACTGGTTCTTAATTTTTGTTAAGTTCTAATGACATACGGCATTTTGCTTTGGGGTATTGCCGCCGATATCAATAGAATCTTTGTCCTGCAGAAACGGTGCGGTTAGGGCAATTTACAATCTCGGCACTAGAGTATCTTTGAGAGATATGTTTAAGGAAATTAACATTCTTACACTAGCCTTACAGTACATTTATGAAAATGTAATTTATGTTAATAGGAATAGTAATTTCTTTATGAAAAATAGTGACAGACATAACATTAATACGAGGAATAAAAATAAACTAGCTTTTCTTGATAGTCGTCTTCACAAAGTCAAAAATCATTTAAGGGGCAATGTAAACGCTTCTATAACAAGATTCCGGTTGATATACAAAATTTGCCTTTCACGAGGTTTAAAACTATGGTGAAACAAAAACTTTATTCTAAAAATTATTATACAACATCTGTGTACTTGGATGGCTTAAATCCGTGGTAGTAACCCGTTTAGCTCATGGAGGCAGTTTCGATCTCTGATGTTTGAAAACAAAACAAATTGTAAATGTTGAATGTGTACAAATGTTATTTACAAAGAGTAACCCCTAGAGTTTCTTGCTCACTCTTCTCAGGGGAATCTGCATTACGAATAAGCGGCAGCGTTTAACCAATGTGACAACTTCAAGTGTAATAATGCTTACCTATGAAATAAAGATTATTTTGAATTTTGAAAACCGGAAAGCAGTAATGCTCACATTACTGTTTGGCAGCAGAAATAGGTAAACTGGCAGTACTTCCCTGGATGAACTCTTTCACAAGGAGCTGCTAATAAATGCTACATTTCTACTACTTAAGTAATTCTGAGAACGGTATTATGTATATAAGTGTATCACTCAATGATATACCCGTCACATTGTACGAGTATGTTTGAGATCATTACACTATCTAGGAAAATAACTGACGATCTCGAAGGCGGATCATTTGAGGAAAAGCGGGAAAAACTGTTTTGCTAGGTTAAATGGTTTAGGATTTTTTTAAATTTATTTATTTGCATTCAAGTAACAAAGACCTATAAATACATACCTTATCGACTAATATACATAATAATACAATAAAAACACTACTGACTACTTATTATTTACAAGTATTGTCTGCGACGTGTGACGCAACGTGGGTGTCTGATAGCCGGCCTCGGAAACGTCGGTACATGACTCCCTTCGGCCAAAACTCATCTTTCATGAAGGTCGACAGATGTTGAGTTGGTACTCTCACCACAAATAAATTAAAATTTACATAGTGACTGGACACCAACTGCTGACTCTCAGGGTAGCATTGAATTTCACCCGTATATACCCTACAATATCGGCAGACTTTGTGGAGTAAAGAAGCCGTGACACGTATAACAACGTCGTCGGTATCGCTGGACGCAGTAAATGATTAGGGCCAGACGGGGCGGTGCCACTAAGGTTACGGCTGGTGTACTTGTTCCTTTCCACCTTTTTAAAACCATCCTCGTCGCACTGTTCAACTCTTCTCAGTGGTACTGATGACACATCTTCAGAGATGAGTATCCGTTTCATTTTCCTCCCCTTTGTTGGTAACTGCCTGGGTTGTGGTTGTGGAGCACTGGATCGGTAAGCAGCGGCAACAGCAGCGTAGTCACGTTGAGGGGTCAACATGCTTACGTGTGACCTCTCCGCCGGGGCGGAAGAACGAGGGGCGGGGAGCGGGGAAACGCACGTGGTTACAGTGATCGGCGACGTATGGGCCGACTTAAAACTGCCTCGGGTGACCTGCATACCGAAGCCGCACTACTCAGTAACGCAACTTGGGCACGCAACTCACTGATAGTATTGTCCGAGGCTTCCAATTTATAGTGAACTTCAGCAAGGCTCCCTTTTAGGCACGTGATGTCCTTCAGCAGCCTGATGACGTCGACGTGGTTGAACGTGAGAGGGGGCAGCTCGTGCAGCTCCTTCGACTAGAAAGCAGGCAGGTTTTCTGGGTCGGTCTCCTTTAACAGCGTGATGGTGTCCTGGAGACTCTTCGCTCCTCCATCCCTCCGGCGAAGTGGCATCTGCTCAGCCTTGCCAAGCATACGGAAAAGCAGCGCCTTGCCACTGCAAATCTCCTCTTCCTTGAAATTTGATTTGCAGATCTGCACAATGCTGATCTCGTCCATAGTGTCGACGGCGTGTTGAATGAACGCCAGCAATTCATTGGCTATGAGTTGTTGGGAACCCATTGTCATTCACGCGCAGCGGCTATAGTCGCGCGGGTCGCGACTTATTAGAATTCATACTTTTTAATGGAGCACGTCCGAATCCGACGTGCACCGCACTGCAAAAATATTTATTATTAAATAATGGTCTTACAAAATACATACAATACTAGTAATGATGTATATTAATCCCGGAATTAATAACACTATTCTAATTTGAAAGGTTTCTTATTTCGAGAGCATAAAGTGAGTTTTTGATCAACATGGTGTAAAAGAGATGGCGATGTAGTATGCGATTGAGAACACAAAAGTTATTCAATTTGCAGGCATCTTTTATATTAATTAACGTGTGGTTAAAATCTTAACCATTATGAATTTTACAATATTTCTTTTGTGTTTTAACAGGTAGTAATATTTTCAAAATGCAGTTGGGTTGTTGGTTTTTTTTTGGGCTTAAAATAGTATTCGTAGATGCCGTCGATTTTGGATTTTACATGGAAAGTAGCCTGGAAAACGACAATGTCTTCAACCTTATTAATATTTTTAGACATGCCAATTTAGGGGCACAACGACATTAAAAGTTAAAATTCTTTGTCCAACACTTAAAATTAAATTTCTTGCAAACCATAACGGACAAAGCATTTAAAAAGGTGAGGAAAAAGAAATCGTGGCTACGGAACTTTTGGAAATAAATTGAAACCTTTTCTGGAGCGATACAGGAAGTTATAGTAAGTATCTAAAGCTGTTTATGTTGTAGGCATTTAGGGTGGGGGTGGCTAGGCTTCTGATTGTCTCAACACTGCATAGGTTCCTTCACGTTTGGATTCCACTTTCCGTTTAACATCAGGTGGAGTACATGTAATAAGTCACAAATACTAATTGTCGATATTATAATAATAATAAGGCACACACTCAACATGTACTTTAACCAACAACTAGGGAAACCCTGTGTCGCGGGTGCCATAGACACATATGTAGATAGACAACCACAAATTACACCCAAACTCACGAGAGAAATAAATGTAGGCTATACAAATATTCTCCCGGCCCGGGAATCGAACCTGAGACCTCTGCGTGGCAGTCCGGCATGGTAACCGTTTGGCCACGGAGGCAGTTGTAATATGTAAATAAATGAATACACAGAAAAAAAGCGTTTGTACTAATAAGAAAGAGCAATTTCTCAAAATATTTGCTAATTCTGAAAAAATATTTATTAAAAGTAATAAAATATTGTCATTACAAAAATACTGCTTATCTTTTTCTAATACAATTTTACTCTTAACTTTATTCTAACGTTTAGGCAAATACGTTCACTTCAAGAGTTTATTTCATTTCTAATCAATTAATTTAAGACATTACTTACATCAAGAAATTTTTACCTTTTACATCAAATTTAAATAATCTTAAATGAATTCAAAATTTCTTGGAAGTATTTTAAGAAA